GACTTCGCCCCATCTCGTCAGTAACTGACGTGACGGGGGTACCCGGCGCGTCAAAATCGAACGTAGATTTGATTAGTTGATTAGTCACTTCGCTGCCTCCTCCTGCTGGAGGGGATGGTCAAACACACGCCGGAATTCTTGAATGAAAAGCTGAGAGGTGAGAGTCTCAGAGGAATGTGCAGACAAAAACGCTTGAGCCCATCTGAGGGCTTTCCCTTTTAAAGCTGACACAATATATGTTATTCGAGCTGAATGGGTAGGYAACAATGATGGTGAACGATCAAAGGCAAGCCGACACTGGAGCAAAAATCCGGCACAGTGATTAATATCTCCGTCAAAAATCTCTGACGGGCGGATATCTGGTTCTCTAGTCACTATAGCTGGTGAGGGGGGCGTGGCAGCTGGCGGAACAACAGGACTGACAGGGAGAACAGTATTTAATTTACTGTCGAGCGCGGAGATATGTTGTGTGAGTTGATTTAATAGTGCTCTGGTTTCCTGTTGTTCTAAGTATAACTGATTAAGTTTCTGATCCATAATTTTAGACTCGGGTTGACTAGAGGAAACAATGGTCTGATTGTCAGTAGTATTGCTCACGGACGTATGACTTGGCTGAAGCATACTATCAGGTTGCAGAGAAAAGTCAACGTGAGCAGATACTAATAACAAACAGAGACTGAGAACGTAATGTAAAAGGTAAGTGAGTTTATTATATACAGGTGCAGGGGTCTTGGGGACGGGACCTGGAAACAGAGTTATGGTAGAGGTGAGTAATGGGCAGAATCCAGTTAGAGTCTTTAACAGGTGAGTGAAAGAAGGAGTTGCTTACGAGCTGGAGAAGGAGATGAGTTTTGGAGGAGTTGGTCCAACAGGTGAGGTTCCACAGGTGAGTATATACAAGTGCGATTCTATTTACAGATTCTCGGAGCTGGCTGCACATGGGACTCAGGAGAGTGCAGTAAGTGTTTCTTAGGCAGGAAGGCAGGCGTGCTGGAGGTCGCTTCCAACAGAGGCGATGCTTCAGCGATGAGATGAACTCCAGCTCTGCCTTATAAAGCCTGTAGGTGATGAGTCCCAATCTGGTGCAGGTGTGGGTGATCAGTGCCGTGCCGAGAACAGGAGGTAGGGGGTGAAAACATTGAAATGCCTCAGTAACATGCATGCAGCAATTCAATTTTCCTTAGTTGTAGCCACATAACGTTATTGACATTTGTTCTGACCACCTTGGTCCATTAATTATTTTAAATTATCCTTCTTTGATAGGAACAATTTCCAGTCTTTTGGTCACTTTAAGCATAAAAGCATGAAGATCTTTCAAAACAGTGAGGCTTACTAAGAGGCATTTGGTAAGTTTGGAAACAAATGGGAAGGAGATGATCCACTCTTCTGTGAGTGATCAGTTCAAGTCTTATGTGTTACTTTTAATGCCTGGCTGGTAACATGATCTGTTGTATAAATACTCAACAAAAGCACATCTAAGTGAGAGACCACGTCAAGTCCCTGGCATCGCCACCTCAACGTTTCATTAGAGAAGAACCTGTCCAGAAGACCTATACAATTTTTTTCTTTTTGGTTTTTTTACCTGGATTACTGAGATGCATCAGGACAGCTGATATTAACTTGCACTGACAAGGGGCAGGCTTGCTTTCAAATTACTGAGAGTTCAGCTGGTGTCTTGGCTTTCCATACCTTTTTACACCTCCCTTTCTTCATGTGTTCAATACCTTTTCCCTGTGCCATTCCATATTATTACAAGCAACTTCATTTCTGGACATTTATGGTTTGATTTCTTTGTATGTATGGATCACTTGGTTGTTACCGAAATTTGGTGAAAATTTCATGTCATTAGCACCTCTAGTAATATATTTACTGAGAAAAATGGTGACGTGTTCAATACTTATTTTACCCTCTGTACCTGTAGCCTGTAGTTCAGTAGTGGCGTGTGCACCCGACTCTACAGACTAAAAAGAGGAAAATTGTCATATTTTTGTTGGGGTAGTGACATTTTGACCCCCCGATAACATCATTGTTTGCATATTTTTTTAATGAAATGTCATTTAAATTGAAGAGCTAATCAATATGAATCAGCTGATACCTTGTTTTTACATTTTGGTTGGTTTAGAGCAAAGTTATTGGCAGCTAAGCTCCCTGTCCCCCTAATTTTGATGGTCACAATGGAAAAGGGGTGTGGTCACAAAGTGGTCCCTGGGGGGCAGTGAGACCCACCTTTTTTCTGTTAACATGCATTTTTTGAAAGAATGGACCTTAGGGTACATGAAAATACCAGAGAAGTTCAGTAGTGGGGTGTCCGTGGTGACCCACCCTAATGTACAGACTGAAAAGATGAAAATTTTCACCTTCTGTTGGGGTTGTGACCTTTTAACCCCCCCCCCCCCCCCCCCCCCCCCCCGATGACATCATCAGGCACATATTTGCTTAATAAAATGTCATGTACATCGTAGAGCTAAAAAAATACGAATCTGCTGATACCTTGTTTTTAAATTTCGGTTGGTTTATAGCAAAGTTATTGGCATTTAAGTTTTCTGCACCCCTAATTTTGATGGTCACAATAGAAAAGGGGTGTGGCCAAAAAGGGGTCCCTGGGGTGCAGTGAGACCCAACTTTTTTTACTGTTAACATGCGATTTCTGAAAGAGTGGACCCTAGGGTACATGAAAATACCAGAGAAGTTAAGTAGTGGGGGGGGGGGGGGGTGCACGGTGAGCCACCCTAACCCACAGACTGTTACTCGTTTGGCTATTTTACTGGTTAACTATGCTAAATACAGTTGTCTATGAGCCCAATTAGATCTGTTACTGCTTTGCAGCTGCATTCTCCTGCTCCTAAACAACAATCACAGTCATTCTGTTGAATACACCACTCCCTTACTTCTGGCATTTGTTATGGCGTTCCCACATGACTTGGTAACATGGGAGCAAAGGGTCAATATGATGTTGCCCCACTATTGGTATGCAAAACATGTTCTGGGTGCAGGTCAGCTGCACCCAGAGACTCTTTTGCAGTGAGGATCTACTGCACATCCCCAGGTTAACATTAGGCTTGAATGGTAAAGATTTCTGCGCCCTGGACTGAAGTGGAAGTGACTCAACACGACAACCCTCATGAGTAAAATAAAAAATTATCCATTAATAACTATAAAAAAAATTATCTTACACATCTAAAACATACATAGATATTTATACTAAACATTTTATTTAACCTTTTATATATTTTTTGGTGTCCCAAAAATAGTGGAGGGGCGGCGCCCTAGCTTACTCTATAGACCAGCTGCCACTACATTTTTTTAATAAAGCTTTCAATATGGCTGTGGTTCATCTGGGTCCCTTTGTTTCCTATGCTGCATAAAGACCAGTTTATCCAGTTTAATAATGGGCTATAATCTCTACAATCCTACTGAAAACCCCCGTGTAAACTCTGACACAGAAAGAATTGTGCTACAATAATTTCACACTGCCATTTTCACACTTGAAAGTGAAACTACAAAAAAGGGGGAAGTATATTGGATCTGTTTGAATGCAAACTGTCAAATCAGTCCGATCTATGTTAAGCTGCTAGTCCTTAAATCGGTAGTCAGAAATCAGGTCAAGTGGACAATTATTAACAAGAGACGGCATTCAAAAGGGTTAAAGATCGTTTGACAGCAGACATACAAGCAGACAAACCTGGGGAGTTTTCATCCACTGTAAGTCACAACTTTTACTGCACAGACAAAACAATTTAAAGCCTTTTCAGTCACTGACTTATTTAAAAACATGTTTTACTCTGAAAGATCTTTACCCTTCCTTACAATTTAATGGTTCTTATTTATTGGCATTTCAGGACTGCAGTGGTTACATTCTTTTCATTTAAATCCTTACGAATTCATGTTGTTAAACTGATTTGTTGATTCCTTCTGAAGGTTAACAATGGAACACTTTCTTGGATTACATCCCAGAGAGGCAGTGGTGCAAGCAGCGGCCTTGCTTGGCTGTGACTCAATTTCTGCAGAAGTGGCTGAATATTTTGACAAACACGACAAACTAAGTCATCTCAGGGAGAACTTTCTGGTGCCCAAAGTGTCAGATCTGCCTCACTGTGAGTTCAATTTCTTCCAATAAATTTTTTTTTTAAACATTTAGAAGTGGTATTCTGTGGACACTGTAAAAAAAAATTTCTAAGTACACAATTCATGGTTCATTGACCCTTGGTAATTACAAGTTTGGAAGTTCCTTTTGAAATTTCATATTGTTATTAAACTATTGAATATTTATTACAAATGCTTGTACAGTTTTACAGCCTTAATACAAAGTGAAAGTCTACTTAAATGCAAAAATATTAATTTGGTTAAAAACTTTCTTCTGTTTTATGGTAACATAAACAAAACCCAGTGCTTCATGGTTTTGCTCCCTAATTACAGAAAATTTGTATACTGTTAACCTTAAATTTTACATCAATTTATAGTTCACTTAAAGCCTACACTCAAACTCTTAAGGTAGAATCACTTACAGAACAAACTAACTAAAGTGTGACATTTAATCATATATTTATATCTAGTATATATCAATATCAATCTTATACAGCTTGAATTATTTGTGGCCAGTGGTACACATACCCTTTAAAGACTGTTGGTACAACACCATCTTTTAGCCAGACAGTCAGTCCTGTCCTGTTGAAGTCCTCATACCTGAAGTCTTTGCTGCAGAGCAGTGTCCTGTCAGAGGCAACAAAACCCTTCCTTTTTAGCGCAACATCTCACTGCCTCATATTCTCTGGTTTTAAGAAACCTTAAAAACATGAATAAGTTAGTCATTATTTTCCACCCTTCTTTACTTTAGCAAAAATACACACCTTAATTATCATACTTTTCGTTTGTCATGGTTGGTCAGTTTTCACCTTGGTTTTCCTAGTGTTTCTATGTTTCCCCAGTGTGTCTCAGCCCAGCTGCTCCCCATTAGTCTGATTGTCACCCTCGTGTTTCTCAACAGGTGTTTTCAGTTCACCCATTAGTTGTCAGTGTATTTAAGTCCTGTCTTGTCTCAGTCTTGTGTCAGGGCTGGACACGGGGACTCGCCAGGTGACGACTTCCAGCTAGGAATTGTTTGTTGGAGTGACGCGGAAAACTCAAAAACAGAAACATTGATATTGGAAAAGGCGGATTTGGCATAAACTGGTATGTGAATGGTTCGGATGGAAATGGAGATAGGAAATGAGGAAGACAGGGATTTTGA